GGAACAACAAGTTCTCAGCACCCTCAAAATGACACGCCATTTACTTTATATCAGTTTCATTTAGAAAAGCTCTCAGTGCTCCAAATGAGATCTCCCACTGGGCATGTTGGTTGGGCAGTTCTGATGACTAATAAATGTAATATTTTATTGTTACCAGAAAGTTCCTAATTACAGCTGTCATCACTGAAAATAAACACATTCAGGTTCTACTGCACATTATGATAAAGCCTTCTGTCCAAGCATGGGAAATATTTTTTTAAGTCATTTGCTACCAAATGTGGCAACATGTGAGACTGCCCTTCAGTCTGCTTCTCTGATTCTTCTGCTTCTTAAAAAGAGACATTGCCATATAGGTTATCCCCCAATAATGTAAAACTTTCAGGCATTTCCACATTTGAAGTCTTGTATCTTTCTTGTGGGTACCTCAGAATATTCTAAGGACTTCAGTAATTTGATTAATAAAGCTTTGAAATGCAGACATATTATTGGCCAAGAGATTTTTTGGGGGTAAATAAGGAATTTTGGTTTAACACTCAGACATTTTCTTAGAACCAGGTTGTTTCTGTGAACCTATTTTCGCTCCTTAGATTTGGCTTTTATATATACTTACCCACTGAGTAGTACATACTATGTAAGTAATCCCACTAACTTGAGTCCTGTCATTTCTTTTGCAACTTGTTTGTGGGAACTGCACTTCAAATGTCACTAGGATGGGGCTTTGCTTTGGATATGAAAATTCTTTGACTCCAAAGCAAAAAGGAGCACCTAGAATGGTGAACAGCCTCTGGGTCTGAACAAGAATTCCAGGTTCAAGCTGGATGCCAAATAGAAGGCTAGAGGCCAGTTTTGGATGAAACTTTCTCACTGTTTCCTTCTAGCCCTGGTTCCGCCATGAAAAATGAAAGATTTACTGGAAAGCCATTCCTTACACAACTCTGTTAGTAATGCTCATACAAGCACAATGGCAGATTCCAAATCTAATGACCTGCTTTTATTTGTGAAAATTATCAGGAGTTCATCATGGATCTCCTGGTTGCACTTAACATCCAAATATTATGTGGACTTTAAGGTCACATGTTACATTATAAAATGCCCAGTGAGACATAATAATAAATAAAATGGAATTTTTAGTATTTCTTGTAATAGTTCAACCAGGGAAAATTGGTTTCTTAGTGTGACAAAATTTTACATATGCTATGGCCACCTCCATCTTTATATTACTATAAATTTGCCCTATAGAATATTGTGACAACTCTTTAAATCTGTCCTCTTCGGGGCAGGCTCTGTCACACTTTCACACAGCTTCACAACAAGAGTGACATGTAAGGGGTTTTCCCATATTTAGCAAACCATAAGAAATCCAAGGCAAATTCCAGCCACTCCACACCCATACGCATGCTATTGCTATTTAATTGCAGTGGTAGGCCCTGCTGGTAAAGACAGCAGAGAGGGGCAGCTTCCAGTCGAGCCAGAGCACACAGTGACAGACACTAGTCTTTCCAAAAGCTGTTTTTTTTCTGTACAATGACTTGTGCCCCTCAAAACCTAGATTCCTTACACGTTTAAAACCCAAGTGAGAACTTGCGATGTTACTTCTGCAAAATAAGAAGTCAACAGAGTGCACAAGGAATGCTGTAGACAATTTATCAAAACCATGGTAAGAATAAACTTTAAAGTAGACTATCAAATGGCTACAGGTACCCCAGAAAAATTGCTCATAATTTCTTTCTTTAATGAGTAAATCCAGCTTATCATTTTATAGTTCTGTTATAGCTGGTGACACCACAGGCACTTTGAATAGAAATAGAAGTGAGTTGAAGCTTCTTTACTTGGTTTAAGTGTAATGGTGCCATGAATATTTGCAGAGGAAAGGAAAAAAAATAATCAGCTTTGGACACTGAATGACCAGAATTATTGAATATACTTTCAACTCAAACTTGTACGTCTGTGTTAGCTTCTTATAGTATACTATTATTAAGCATTCATTTAAAACTTTCATGGTATTCTGCTTAGGTAATTGGAAAAAAAAAAAGAATGGATCATGAAAAACTCATTACTGTAATGACAATTAATAATACTATTTGGGTTGAGGGATAAACATATGAAACATTCATCTCTATATCTATGCTGATTGTATACTGAGTCCATCAATACAGTAAGTTCACCAAGCTGACTAGCAGAATGTTCTGCAAGCAAGGCATGATGATAACATTTCATGTAACTCCTCTTTGGCAATACTTAGACACTGCAATTGAATACCAAACTGTATCACGTGTGCCAGTCAGTTACTGCAAGAAAGAAAATGTGATGAACTGTTTGTTTTGAACTATTAGTATAAACATATTGCAGAAATGAAACCCAAGCTTAAACAATGGGGAAAGTTATCCGGTATTAAAATAAACAGTTCTAGGAAAATCTCTAAAAATGTTTACCCAGTCATCTTCTTCAGAGTAGTTTCTGCGCAGACCGTTTTGCCATGTCCCTTGTTTGCCAACCAATCCCAGTTACTCTGACTATAGATATGCAAATGCTAATGTACAAGGCTGGGGCTTAATTGCCTGTAATTGGCTCCCCAAGCAAAAGCAAATTCACCCTGCCAAACATTGCCTATGTACAATTTTAACGAAAATTATATATGTTACCTGAAGTAATAAACATATTTCCTTCATGTAAGTCAGAATATCTCAAATTCTTAAACATTATTTCTTATTGTAACTATTCACTTCCAGTCATAGACCTATAGCCATTAATTGTTCTTTACTTTATTCACAGCAGGTGTATTGCAAAATGCTGCTTAGTGTGGCAGCAGTTATATCTGATACTACAAATCTAGGGGGAAAAATAAATGCAGGGTATAAGAATGAGATGTGAGATATCTGCATAATATATCCATTACACTTAAGCATTATGCTTGTTTTGAAAGGAAATGAGTTATCGCTCAGATCCTTTGTAATGGCAACAGCAACAAAGCAAATTCGGCATTCAGAGATGCTTTAATGGACCTGCATCAGCCTCATTTGTTCAGAGTGAGCCACACTTCATCACAGAGAGAAATGGGTCTTTTCATTCCGGGGAAAACTGACACATGGGGATATGGGCACAATCCCAGTTTTATGTAAACCCCTGGGAGCAGAGGGTTGGGGGCTGGGAAGGAAAGGAGGAGGGGGATGGTTTTGCCCATAGCAAGTTTTACAATCACTGCAGAAGAAAACAGTCCCCAAATATAAACCTCTTTCATTGGGCTTCCTACCTGTTTAATTACTTCCCCCCAAAGTGTGAGAGGACTAACCCTAACTCAGACCTTCACACTCGAGAGACTCAAATTTCCTCATGTTCAGTTCACAGTGAAACAGTGATCTTAGTTCAGTCTCTAGTGGACAAACACAGAATAAGTAAAATCTTATAAGCATGATTCAGCAGGCAATTTGCTCAAGTAAGATCATGTGTGCATAAGCACAGATAACAACTTTCCCCTTTTTAGTGCTTGCCTCAGACTCCCAAGCTACAGCAAAATAATTTCTTAAGAAATGCTTTCCTCTACAAAAGACCTCCCCACATTTCCAGCCTTATATTCCCCAAAGCAGACCAAGATAATAAAAAATGAGGAAAGACGTCTAAAAAAGAACTGCTTGCTAATATTTTGGTTTATAGTCACATGTTTACTGGACAGAGTCTTTTCTCTCTTACTGGAGCCAGATAATGCGAATAGAAAAATTATTTTACCAAGAGATCAGGAAATCCTCTCTAAAGATTTCAGTAGGGTTAGGGGGATGGGGATGGCTGTATATGTGCTTTTTAACATATTTCAGTCTTGCACGCTCTCTGGATGAAACAAAACTTGGAAATGAGATAGGCAACATAACTATGCTATTATGAAGTTTTAGCTCACCAAGTAGAGTCTTCACTAAATTTTTATTGATATTCATTCTTAGTATGAACTTCTGTTGGAATTAAATCATGTATCTATCAAACGGGTACATACAGCAGTTTTCTTGTGCCATCTTACATGACTAGTTGCAACACTCAATTGCTCAATTTTCTAAGTTTTGCCAGGTCAAAATGCCAGTGTGGGAACGGGAATATTATAAATAACTGTATAAAAAGACTGTTTATTTATATTTACTGCTCAGCTACCCCAAGGCATTTTCATTACCAAGGCATGGACAAGATCCTGCAAGGTATGTAATTTTACACAAGTGAGTAATCCTGTTAAGGTGAATGAGAATGCTCATATGAGTGAAATTATTCACATATTTAAGTCTTTTCAGGCCCCTTTTCAGCTCATACAAACAATACTGAAAAGTTTAGAGCAATTGCACAAATTCTTAAAAATAATTACTTCTGCTAAGTTACTGCAACACCTTCAAACCTATTTGTCCCTTTCTGTGACAGAATGCACATATACACACGCAAATTAAAACAGTCTATTTCAAGTCCAGTGTAATCTATACAGTTAAAAAGTTTTACTGTGATGTTTTAGAAGTGTGAATGCCTATTCACTTTCTCCTTTCTTCACAGCAATTAGCTGGGTAGAATAGTATTACAGGATCTGTTTATGGAGGAACAATGACATTCTTAACCCTGTGCCTTTAAATGCTGCTTTTTTTAAATGCTCCCTTTTGCTGTCAGAGTAGCAGGTAACCTGCATGCCATCTGATCTGAAGCTGTGAACTGTAGGTAGAGCTTATAGGAATGCTTAGTAAGTTCTGTCATTAGAGTCTCTGGAGGATTTTTGTGTTTCCTGGCTCACAAACATCCATGGTCTCTTGAGCAAAAGCTTTAAGAAGTTGCATCTTTCAGTTACTTAAAGAAAACTCTGCTCCCAGGAGCAATGTCCCTAAGAAGGGTGCACTGTGGCTGAAACATTTCTCCCCTACGCAGCTACAAACTAGATCAATCGTTACTACCTCAGTTCTCATAGAAACTAATGAAAACTTTGAACAGCATAAGCATCACCAATAAAATCCATTTAGTGAGAAATGAAAAAAAGAAACACTTACTTTTTGCAGCCACTGAGTGTAATTTTCCATCACATGTTCCAGATGTTGCAGTTTCTGGGAAGAGAAATCCTGTTCCACGTGAGGAGCATCTCTCTGAAGAGCGTTTGTGTTGTACTGGTCTGTCGTGCTTTCACGACAGTTCCCGTCCTGTTCTGGCAGAATGAAAGTATAGGTGCACTGCCCATGCTGGATCCGGTTAAATCTTCTCCCACTGGCTTCTGGACCCCGACGCTGGTTATTACAGCCTATATGAGCAAGAATCGCTGCCAGGAAAGCAAAGGAAAGGAAAATTGACATGTTATTACTACTTTCCTTTCCTGCTTTAAGAAAAACTTTTTCTTCCTCTTTCTTTAAATTTTTTCTTAATTTCCCTTAAAGTCTTTGCAAAAAAGGTCTGGAGAAGCACACTTTAGTAATCAAGCTTGGATAAACTTATTTTTTTAATTTCACTATGAGGATAGCTTCCTTAGTTAAAATTGGGAATATTTATTGCATAGTAGTTAAGATTTATTGTTTCCTCTCTGTTACAGTCCAGCATGTAGCCTGCTTTAGTCAGCTGCATATGCATGTCCCAGTCTCTTTCCCCTACACTATCTGCTGCAGAACTGCTATTTTCTCTCAGACTTCAGTGAGTTTTATTAAGGTTGCACTTTCAAGCCAAGCTGGAAGCAAGCAGCCTTTCACAAGATGACTTGACAGGAATGCGTGTATGAGTGCGCCCCTATGCTGAGGATGGCTGATGGCTCGGTACGGAGGGATCATCTTACAAACTGGCTGGATGCATGACCTCAATCATGCATGGCTTTCCAGCCCCTATTGCATACAACTGCTAAGGGCTTTTTGACGAATTCACATAAGTTTAATAAGTAAGGCAGTCCACCTTAATACACTTCATATGTTCACACTGACCTATTAAAATGTAGATAAAGTGTAGAAGCTTGTTGTAATCCCTCTGTAAATATACAAAGCACTGAAATTAAAAATACTTTCAGTTCTGCACTGCTCAGTATCTATTAAAGAGTTCTAAGTCGAGCAAATGAGACTTATGGGAAAAAAGTTACGTTTAACCCTCACATGCTTGAGCTACTTTGCTAAGACAATTGTGTTTCTTAGCAGAGTTTACAGAGAGTTTTTTTACAGCATGTAATGAAATTAAGGTTGCCAAATAGTAATGGGAAACGGCAGTTCAGAAGGATAATCATTTTGCGTGTTTGGCGTCTAAACTAAGGTAACTAATTATAAAACAGTGAGGAATGGTAGTTGAACTATTCCAAACTGTATTCTGTACTACTGCGTAGTTATCACATGCAAAACACTTCTTCCAATCTGCAAGTCTGTATGAGTTATACAGGCACCTCTCATTATATGTAGAAACTTTCTCGGGGGCAACTTCCTCAGATTGTGGTAACTATTTAAGAAACTATCTTATACTTAAATAGTGCCTTTGGTATTTGCTAGAGACAAATCAAAAACGCACAGATTAGAAACAGGATTGGAATATTCCTGAAATTCAGAGGAATTTGGATCTGAGTTCCTGCTCTAGTATTTGTTGTTGTTACATAAATATCAGCCAACACTTGTGCAGACCACTTTGTACAATTTTTCCCATGAAAGTAAGTAGTCTTCTAAATAGCAATAGCACGTCGCTAAAAAAAACAGCCTGCAAGGCTGTTTTAGCCACGAGGAAACCTACCCGCAAGAATACTGAGTGCAAGCACCTTCAGTGCTCATGCAGTTGCCACCTGTAACACAATACAATTTCATTCTAAAAGAACTGCCTGGAATATTTAGCCAGGCATCTGACCTGCTCCTGAGGAAGCTATTCCTACTAAAAACTAGGGGTGGAGGCTTTTCATCTTGCATCTGGAAAGAAGCCACTGCATTTGAGTCAATAATAAATATCCCTATTATAATACAGAGAAAAGAGAGTTTTATCTTGCTTGAAAATGCCTTAATGTCTGATATATGGAGAAAAAAAAAAAAGGAATGAATACAAAGCAAAGAGCAAAACATCAATGCTACTGTTGCTTTTAGCAAAATCAGAATATTCTTCTACCTCTGAACTGTTCACTCCACCTTTGCACTCTTTTTCTGCCTCTGAAAACCAACTTCTTATGGCTTGTTTTCTTACTATCATATAGCACTTCTCATTCTCCATCATCACCAGAACTGGTTCTGCTGTGGTTTATTACACTGTCTTTGCAGTTATTGTGAAATGTAATTGCAAGATACTTGCTCACGTAAGATCAAAGAGCCTCAGTCAGGAAGAAGAGTGTAGGATCAGACACCGAGCTAAAGGCTTAGCATAAAAACAGCTATTCCCTACGAGGCAAATCAGAAATACCAGAGCACTAACAGGGTAACACTACATGCTTTTTTTAAAAGTAAAAAGAAAACTTTATGAATGGGCCTCAGAGCAGTTAAAAGGGGGATAACAAAGGTGGATGTACAAAGGCCTCCTACATTTTTAGTTCATATTTTAAAATTCTTTTGTTTACACAAATGCCTCATTCACTTTCTGCAGAGTATTTAACAGACTTTCTCATGCAAACATGGAAAAGTGAGACTCTAAACTTACTGTTGATGTTTTTCAGATGAGGAAAGACCTTCACAGAAGAGCGGGCTCACTTTGCTGCTATTGCATGGCCCCTTCCCGCTGGCATAAGGTGACTTCTCCTTCTGTCGCCTTCTTCCTGAGGGATAACAGCCATAAGGACCTTCAAGAAGTGCTCAAAGTTATCGAGCATCTCTAGCATTTCCTCATTTGTCTCCAGCTTAGTTCCCTGCCACAGCACCTGCTTCTCAAAGCCAGGTTCATCCCTGACCCCAGGCCCCAAACTAATGGGTCATGGGCAGCACTGTGGCAGGTGTCACTCTGGAGAGACCTGGCAGAGCCATGCAGCAGCCAGAGTATCTCCTTCCAGCACACTGCACTCTAGGTTTCCTTACTAGAGAGAACCAAGTCACCCCACTCACTCAGTGACCACTGCCACATCTGTTTTGTGGGAGCAGTGCACCTGAGACACCTTGTGTGCCCGACCACGTGAGGTTTCATGAAGAGGTGAGGAAGGGATGGCCCAGGAGCCATTCTGTTGCTCCCAGTTTGCGGCCTTTCTAGCCCACAGGGAGGCAGAGAAAGGGACTCATGAACCGTGCTGGGATGCACTTAAATCTTTGCAGGGATGCAGAGAGACTGCTGAAATGGCAGCTGCCCTGAAGGTCAGCATGCTTTGGGGCTGCTCTTGCTGGTCCCAGAGCCTGAGCTGCCTAGCAGGGTACCTATCTAGAAGCACAGACACTGCCAATCCTGTGACACAGGGATCATCAAGGTCAGTTTGCTGTTCCCCCAAACACATAGCAAAGACCTTTTGACAAGGACATTGAACTGGCCAGGCCAGGTTCAGTTTATGCTTTCCCCTAGTACACTCCTGGCCCCGTGCATACACTGGCAGAAGGACAACAACAAACACAGAAAAAAGGTTTGTTTCCAGATCTATAGCCAGTTAATTCCACGGTGTAATTTTCTAACGAACCCCATTTTATGTAAGGTAAACAGGTTCAGAAATGAGAAGAGTTTTTATTTTCCAACATTCCCTATTTATGTTAAAGTATCTGCTTTCTCCTTTCCAAGACCAAATCAACCAACAAAGCAACCAACCAAACAAAATATCTTGCTGCAAGGATTTCAATGGTTTGGTGTCTTCTGCCAGATTTGATAAATGTGCAGTTTATTATCCCAGTACCACATGATCTATGTGACCTATCCTAGCTTTTTAAGACCTGAAAATTTCACACTTCTGCAGGATCTTACGTTACACACTATAGATATAAACTGAATGATTTGTCCAAGATTTCACAGTAAATCAATGGCTCAGCCAGAAACTGAATAGGGGAATGGTAGTGTTTAAAAGTCTGTTTTCTTAAGACCACTTCCTCTGATACAATGACTACTTTCTTGTTCCTTGAACTCTTCATTCTGTGTAACCGGGAAGGGATGGATCCAGAGGCTTCCTTCCCAGACCATGCAAAGTCTCATATGCATTGTTTGTTTAGTGGCTATACAAAATTCTGTAGTTCATTATGCAATCAATCCTACAAGGCAAAATAAATGGAAATTCAATATCCAGGTAAAGGTTACTTTTACATGATATCAGTTCCCGCATATCTAGCATTAAAATAATTTAATGGCTTTTGTCACAGAATCATATGTATGCTCAGAGTTCAAATACAAATTCTAGGAAACCACTATCTATTTCTGTTTCTTTACATTTCTGCCGCAATATGTGTTATTGCTGCACACGACTTGCAATAAGGTTGCATCATATCACACACTGTAACTGGAGTTACTCCAGCTCAACTTCCTCAGTGTATAGGGGAATTCACTGCAGAGTGGCCCCTAAGTATAGGCACAAGAAACAGTCTTTTATCTCTAGGTAAACCAATGCCATACCGTAGGACACAAAATGTTTATTTTTAATGTAGCTCATTCCAAAGAACCTCATTCTAAATATATACATTTGAATGAATAAAAAGGGATCTGAAGTCCCAAACATCTGACTAGTTATGTGCTAATGATTCTCCAGTGACTGCAGTGGAGGTGGTCCCAATTTACTGTAGTGCTGAGACCAGGATGGGACACAGGAGATTTGCCTGACCGTACAGAATCCAGACAGTATTGAGAGCAGATGAAAGGGAAGACTGACTTGCCTACTATGCAATAACACTACCTGTATGCTTTCTTTTCTTACTCTCCTGGGAACAAGAAAGTAGTCATCTCAGATCAATTACTCCTCACTACTGAGGTTTGTATATTTACATGTGCATATTTAAGGCACGATCCCACACAGTGCTGCTTGCCAGATCCTTCCTTCAAAGGAATACCGGGATGGGTGCTGAGTCACGCTGCAGCTCAACCCGGCTCTCCCAGCATTTCATTTCACACCTGGGAACAAGTAAACATCTGGGAACATTAACAGAATGGCAAAAAGCAGCAGCTCTTGGAAGAACACGATGGTTTACCACAGAACAATCTGAGTTCCTGGTTATGCCATACAACCTGTCTGAATTTTGTCTCACACAGAGCTTGTGAGGCTTCCCAGGGCAAAAGCTTTATTGGACTCTTTCCAAACATGTCAGCAGCTAAGACACCTAGGTGTTTTCTTAATTCTTATTGTCATGCTGTCAGGGACATGGGAAAATCAAGTTGTTCCTGTATTCGTAACAAATCTTTGAGCTTATACATATAAAGAAAAAGCATGTAGATTAATTCAGTTAAGTTTGGTCTCATGTCTCATTCATCGCAGGAAGGAGGGAATGCCTCCAGCATCTTTTTGTTATCTGTCTAGAGTAAGTTTTGTCCTTAAATTTCACACTTTCAGGATACTCGAGGCATTTTTTAAAGACCAACTTCCAATCCTATCAAAAAGGAGTGATGCATCGTAACTGAACAAGGTGGGCATGATATTTCTGTTTGAGAATAATAAAAATATTGCCCAACAACAGTGATCTTCCACTGTAAAACTTAGCCAAAGCCAGAATGTTGCCTTGAAAAGAGACTTCATACGGCTACAAGCCTTTTATCCCTATCATGTGAATGTGCCTTCTATTGCCAATTACGTTGAAAGCGCAATTCTGTGGAAATTACTTATCAGCAATGTTGTTTGTTTAAACAGTTTAGT